GGTTGCTGTGCAGACAGCAGGAACAGACAGCAGATTTGATTTTTCAGCAGTCCTGGTTTTTAAAGCATCCAGGAAATTGTCTGAGGAGACCCAAAGGTATAATCTGGGCCAGGAGACAGGCATTTGGAAGCCATGAGGAATATCTCATGCTAATGCGCATGCTGCGCTGCGCAACGCGTGTTCTTTTTGCAGCTCTCGAATGCCATCGTGATGGGAGTGCCCGCGATTGCAAAGCAGGGGTTTTGCCTCAGCCTCCCAGATGACTCTGGATTTTTATTTTTTTTTTTTCAAAAGCTAAGTGAGTTACTATGGTTTTGCAGACTTCCCATTCATTTTCTGGAAGTTGTGTCTCCATTGGAAATCTTGTTTTAATTCCTCGTTTGGCTTCTGCTATGTGAGTTGGTTAGAGCTGGCTTTGGAGCGTCCAAGTAACCCTTTCCACAGAATCCTCTGTATGTAGCAATCTCTTTCCATTTCCAACCATGATCGTTTAACAAATCATGCACAGGGACTATGTTCTTCTCCGATCATCCATGTCTCTCTTCTCCTGGGGCAGTACCAGCAGTCCTTCTACTGTGCCAGACGCCACGCAGGCCCCCAGATGCTTCCTTTCAAGTGGCTGTTTCAGCTTCTAGTGCATCCTGAATCCAGATGGTATAAAATAGCATCCCCAAATGAGAAATCACCTCCGTATCCTTGCAGCACAAGGTTGTCTTGACAACCGCAAGATCTACAAAGGTAATAAACAATTTGCTGTGCCTGAGGGCAGTATTCTGTGCATCCACCGGGACTAAAAGCTACTAGTCTGGGATTTTAATGGAAGGTGAGATTCCCACATGAAGCCAGAGGCTGATGCTTTAAGCAAAATACCAGACATTGGTAACATCACCTGAGTTAGCCTTAATAAAGCCACATAGGACCACTCTTCCCTGCCTGGAGGAGGCAGCCCTCGTCACCACCTTTCCTGTTTCTGGCCCCTGGGATAGCAGGGACAGACAGCATCCTTGGCAGGCAGAAATGAGGTCTTTCCAACTCTGGAATGGCCCAGACTGGTTTTATTATTACTGCTATCTTATCTTCATCTTACTACTGTTTTTTAAAAGCCTTTTGTAGATGCACAAAGAAGCTTTGTCAAGAGTTGCACTCCTCCCTCCACCTCTTGTCCAGGAATGGGGTGTTTCATGCCTGCTCCGTAGATACTCCAACACTATGGTCCCTGGCTACCGAGTTGCTGTTTCAGGCAGGCTGAGAACCTGCCATGGAACCCTTCAGTCTCCGCAGCTGTACCTCACTCTACAGAGGCAGACACCTTTATGTAGGGGTTAAGAAGCATTTTCTTTGCCTTCAGAAATTTGATCGGAGATCTGAGCAGACAAGTAATATAACCAACTGTCAGGGCTGAGTCTGGAGTTCGTGGCAAGGGTTTTCCATCCTAGACAGCAAGACAGCCACTACTTGGACAGGGAGACAAAAAGAAGGTGCCTTACTCTTCCGAACTATATTTCTGTCCTGCTACAGGCTCTGCTGAGGCCAAGGGATGCGATGTCTCTGCCTCAGTTCCCTTTTTGAAAAACCTGGCTGTATCACACAGCAGAGAAGATTGGCTCCTTCTTAGACATGGTGGACCTGAAACAGTTCCAGCAATGCTCCTATGCAGAAGGGTGCCAGAAAGACGGGGACTGTGGATGGATGTGTATGTTTGCCCCACCTCTTTTTCCTTGGCACATGTTCCCGACGCGATGAGTCTGCAGAATGCAGCAGGCTGCAGTTCCCGACCAGCCTGGCTATGGCCACAGCCACAGCTGGCTCCTGGCAAATACCTCTGCCTTTCCCGGTGTGAAGGAAAAGGAGGCTCTAGCTCGGGCTTCTTCCATTGCATCTTGTCTATTATGTACCCAATATATGGCATTTGGTGCTCTCCTTCTGGGGAAGGACCTTCAAATATTGTGAAACCAAGGCATTCCTTTGAGATGACACCAGGTTCTGTGCTAGCATCCACTTGCTCACCGCTCAGCCAGTTGAACTGACAACTGCTGACTTGTTTCATCCCTTGGCACCATCTTCTGAGCCAAGTTCTGCAGGAGCCCACCTGCCCAGCAGTCACAAACCGGCAGCCACTTCCCATGTATTTTCACAGCAACATGTTTCTGCTCTGAAACAAGGTCCTGGGGAACCGCTGCAGTGAAGACCTTAAGCCTAGAGTCCTCTGACATTCTCACTTAGCACTGAATATAAGTAGGAGACCACAGGGAGTGATCTTGGGCTTTGAACGTCCACCCTGGTAGTAGAGAAGTGTGTTCCCCCCTCCCAGAATTGGAACCCTTTTCCCATTCATATCGAAGTAGGGAAATAGAGCTATGCAGCAGAATTGATTTGTCCCGAGTCCTAGCTGAAGCTTCTGCAGAGAGGGGATGGTGTATCTAGGGCTGGAACAGGTTCGTCTGCTGCCTGGCTGCATTTGACACATGAAATCCGCAGCGTTCCTTTGAGTCTAATCTCGACCTTGTCAGCGTTCAAGGGATGCCAGCAAACTTGTGGCTGCAAAACGGCATTTCAAGTCGCCAAGAGGCCGGAGGTGGAAGGCAAATGTCTCACAAGCTGTCTCTGAGTGTTGTGGAGAAGTCAGTGCCTGGGTCTAATACAGGAGACTAACCTGCGGCTTCCCTCTGGGAACAAGGACGTGTTGTGAAGCGTACCATGGGCATCTATTTTGTGGGGTTTATTGCTGCCTTTATACTCTCGAGGCACCTGTAATCTGGCGACAAGGGGTAGAGCTATTTGCTGTGGGCTTCCCGCAGCATATCCCTCAGGTGTTGTACCCTGTCCCCTTAACCTGTCCCATTTATTCACAGTGTCCCTGGGTCCTGCCTCCAAGCTCACTTATTTCCATCCCCTGAGCTTTTGGTGGGACTTTTGGAACATCCCTGTTCCTTTGTGTCTGGTGGCTGTGGGGCTCACAGAAGGGTGCGGTGCCCCAGGCCCCGTGGTTCTGCCTCCTCCGAGCTCCGGCCGGGTGGAATACCGCTGGATGGGAGCAGGCAGGGCATGGAGAAGGGAAGGATTCCTGCCTGCTTGGGAGAGCCAAAGAACAGCTCAGAGGAAAAACTGAGGCTGCTTTATTTGGTACGGGGAAGTTGGCAGGGACTTGGAGCAGCTCGGAGGAGGAGAGCTGATCTTCTCCCAGTTAAAGGACAAGTCTGAGAGTGCGAGGCCACCTCCCGTTCCCTTGCAGGTCTGGGCAGACTTTTGTGCCCCCCTTTACCTCCGTGGGATGGGCAGTCGGTGGGACCTACTTATGGTACTGCGTGAAGTGTTTAAGCCTGAGGGTATTATCGTAAGGTTTTAGGACTGATGCTGTGCAGAGCAACTGCACTTCTTTAAGGCTCAGGGTGCTCTTAAATAGCCTTAAAAAAAGAGCATCTTTAGGTCTTCATATGCCACTTCCCTGAGACTAGGACTGAAGTCCTGGGTGTTTCCACCCCTCTGGAAGACCAGAGAACAGTGGAATTCTGCCCAAGATGGGCTCAGGAGGGTATCAGAAGGGTCAAGTAGTGGAGGAAGCTGGGGGGGAACTGCAGAGCATCAGAAGAGGTGTTCATGTCTGGCGTTTGGCGTGTAGTTTGGGGTGTAGAACTCAAAGGTAGCACGAGCCTTGAAGAGAAGCCTCTGTGCAGGGGGGGAGAGAGGCGAGACAGCACAAGAGTGGCTCTGAGTGTTGAATGTCTCAAAACAATGGAGCTTTGAAATGCTGCGGGGAGTGACTTCAGCTGGGATGAATGCAGCCGGCCCAGCAAACGCTGGACAGTCCCCAGTCCTGGCCACTGGGTATGGGCAGAGAGCAAGGAGAAATGTATTTCTTCACGCTCCGGGCTGCTTCACTTACGTGACAAAATGTAGTGGTTCGGTGTCACTAGTAGGTGATTTCCACAGGGAGCTTGGGATGAACTGACCGTAGGAGTTTTGGAACCTGGATGCCCAAATTCTGTCTCCAGCTTTGTCCCGGGCAGTGCCAGTGACATGCTGGGTATGTGATAATGTCTTGCCAAGCGTGGGAAGCTGCCGCTTTGGCCGGGCACAGTAACTCCCACCCATCTGTCGGGCAGTAGCATCTGCCCAGAACTTGCTGGATCGCTCCAGATTTGTTCTTGGTGGCTCAGGACAGGCTTGGATGGGCAGGGGCATGGTTCCTGCTGTGCCAGGCCTCTCTGTCACAGCAGTTCACCGGCACCATTTGGCCTTAGCACAGAGGACAAGGCAGAGAGAATGGAGAGGGAAAGCTGGGGCTTTATAGAGCAACTCAGAGGCTTGTGGCAACCTGGTTTGAGGCTGGAGATGCCTAGGAGGCAAGGTGTGGTGGTGTTCTTGAGCTGAAGCCTGTTGTGCAGACACACCTGAGCAATTGCTTTAGCCAAAATGCTACCTCATGGCGGTTGGGACACATGTACCTCCTTTGCAAGCGTTGTTCAGCGAAAGCATCTTGTCCAAGACGTAGGAGTGGTGTGAAAACCCAGATATTGCTGCCTCTGTTGACACATTTTACACTTTTTTAGCTTTATGCTTGGCTTCAAGGACTTGGTTTTGTGCTCTTGAACCTTTCAAAAAGGGGTCTGGTTCACTGAGTTGCTATGGAGGGGCTTGGCTGCAGCTAGGTGACTTCAGCTGTCATCCAGCGTTGCTGTAGGCTGCGTCTCCCAGCCAGAAGGGCCTGTATTTTATATGTGCCATGTTTTGTGTATTAATGTCAGTAGTGACTTTCTTGCTACTGTTTCTCTTCCAGATGTTATCCAAGCAAATCGGCTCCATGCAGTAGATATCACCTCAAGCAGCTTCCGTCTGATGTGGCCCAAACTCCTCTCCCAAGAAACTGGCTACTACACCCTAGAGTATGCCCCGATCGATGATCTAGCAAGGAAGAGGGCAAAGCAAGTGTCTGGGGCGCACACTAGCCTCATGCTAAGCAACCTTGCACCAGAAACTACTTATGAGGTGGCACTCATTCCTGAATCCAACGTCCACTACTTCCCTCCCCAGACAACAAGGGTTACTACACTAGCAGGTAAAATGTGCAGAATCGTGACCGAGGGGGAAGTCTCCACTGTCCTGAGCCTTACGTGTATAGAAAGCAACCAGGGCAGCCCTTGGTCTGCATCTCACAGCCTCGTGGTCTGGTTGGAGGAGGCAGATGGTTGTGGTCAGGAAAGAGCATAGCGAGCTGCTTTGTGCTGGCACTCAGCTGGCAGCCCTTTCCTTAGAGATGTTCTGGACTGCCCAGAACAGGTGATCAGGTCTGGTCATAAGATGCCCTTCCAACCTTAAAATCTATGAATCTGGAGGAAAGCAGAGCCCACTTCCCTGGGAGAAGAAGGCAGGAGCTGCAGATTGCAAGTATTTAAGAGGGCTGAAGTGTAGAGCCCACTGGGGATAAAGCACAGGCTGCTACACATAACTTACTCACCCTCCCGGTATGATGGGCAGGCAGAAGCAGTACTGCCTTCTGTGGGTTACTACCAAAGAGGAATTTTGTAAGGGAGAGTAATGCTCTTGAAGCAGGTCCATGCTGCTTCTCCAGGCAGGTGTATCCAGTGATGGGGAATCCTCGTGTAAGAGGGAAGGAGAGGGGAAGCACTTAGAGCAGCAGCCAGCCCCTCTGTGCAGGCTAGTCATTTGGGCCAGAAGAATAACTCAGACTTATGCTTGGTAGCAACATGCAAAAAAAAAAAGTGGCACACTGAAAATCTGAGCAGGGGTGACAAAGTCAAGATGAACTTATATCCAACGTTAATTTTCTGCATGCAAGAACAATTTCGGCTGAGTGGTTTTGCCTACTCTATGCTGCACAGGTAGGGAAACCATTTTCTTAGGGCTGAGCTGGGTTGTGCTGACTTGGATGACTCTCAACAACCACTTGCTGGATGGATTTTCTTCCACCTCTTGGAAGCCAAATATGATGCAGGTCAACTATGCTCCTCTGACAGCATTCTTATTCCTTGAATTACATACTCATTCACACTTTATTTTTTTTTTCCACATTTGCTTTCAGAGGAAATAAGCCCAGCTCAGGTTCTCATCTCAGAGTCTGGGCCACACAGCTTCCACGTTAGTTGGGCTCCTACCCTGGACAGTGTGATCGGTTATCAGGTCCTCTACGGACCACTCCCGGGGAACTCGGCGAAGCTGCTGGAGGTGGACGGCAAGCACAATAGTACTGTGGTGGAGAATCTGGCCCCCAATACAACCTATCTAGTGACCGTGACTGCAGTCTACAAATCGGGAAAGGAGAAATCGCTGTCAGCAAAAGCATGCACTCAGGAAGGTGAGTGAGCAGCACTCTGCTGATAGGAAACTCTACGGGCACAAGGAGACTCTGAAGTGTTCCCGTTTCTTTGCAGGGATCATCTGCCTCTAGGTGAAGGCAGAGAACTCAGTCAGCCCTGTTAGTGGGGAGGGATGAGAGAAGGGGGAAAGCGGCAGGTTCTGATGAACAGCACACGATATTCCGTGTAACTTTTAGGATGTAGCAGATGTATAAGGCATAGGACTGAAAGCAAATCAGACACGCGCAATATGACTGCTATTACAGGGTGCGTATTGCCAAGCTGCTGGTGCGGTCACAAGCAGAATGGACTCGGAGATTCCTGAATCTCCCTAAAGAAGAAAGCAAGCTGCCTTTCCCTCCTGTCTCCTCAATGTCTGTTCTTTGGTGTGATTTAGCATCAGAGGGGTGGAAATTTCATCAGCAGAAGCTTCTGCTTTGAAGAGGTACCTGTAAAGATATTGCAAGAGGCAAAATCTAGCTCTTATCAGGACTAAGGAGTGAGGAGCACAGAGAATGACAGGAGCTGAGGGTGTGGGAAGTGGCCAGCCAGTGCCTAACAGTGCCAACAAAAGTATTTTGTGCTGGTACTAGGACAAAGTTAAAGATTAATTAGGCTGAGCTCCTCCAGTGTGGACATGTTGAGTGATGGGCTATTGTATCTCTACAACAGAGACCAGGCTGGGTGGCAACCCCTCTCAGCGATCCCCTTGGGAGGAACAAGGAGGCAGGCAGAAAGGACAACTCCATACAAATGGCCCACAGTAACGTGAATCTTCTTTCTCTAGAGGGCTCTACAGTGAGGCACCTTCGCTTTGAAGACATGGGCCCCAACACCCTGAAAGCCTCCTGGGACTCTGCCGATGGAAAAGTCCTTGGTTACAGGGTCAGGTGCCGGCGGCAAACTGGCCCTTCATCTGTCATCAGCGTTTCGCCGCAGATCCACAGCGTGCTCCTCACAGACCTGGCTTCAGGCACCACTAACAAAGTGTGTGTGAAGCCTGTGTACGAGAACCAGCCGGGCAAAGGGCTGTGCCGCATGGTGCACATGCAGCCAGGTGAGCTGGGGGGCAAGGCAGAATCCTGGGGCCCTTTAGGGAAGGGAAAGCATCCTGAAGGGCACTGAGGTGCTGCAGATCCAAGATGGATGAGCCCTGATGGTTGAAAATACTCTCTGCTCATCAGCTAGCTTGTCAATAGGGCTTCATCACAGCTACCAGCCCAAAAGATGCTGTCCAAAGATGGGCTCTTTCCCCCATTTTTAAGGGCAATAACTCCTCCTAGTGGTATTGGGTTTCCAGGTAGGAGAAAAAGCGTACAGTGGAGACAGTCTTGCAACTCCTTTGGGATAAGAAGGGCAGGAAGACTGCTAAAAGCTGTCATGGGCACTGGAAGTGTGGTTTAAAAGTCATTTGAACTCTTGGCTACCCTTCACTTTTCGATGCGGCAGGGACAAGCTAACTATTAACCACAGCTACCGAGGCACAACACATCTGCTTTTCTCCTTCCACTACCCAGAAGCCACTTAATGTCATGAAAGACAAAGGGATTCTCGATAGGCTGAAGTGAACTACGAGCTAAAAAGCAGCTGTGTGACAGTGCAGAAGCACAGCCTTTTTCCCAGCAAGAGGCTGGAGCGATAGTGAAGATGACCACAGGGGTCAGATCTCTGACTCAGTCAAATTTGGAGAATGGGTGGATGAAGCTGACATTCTACTTCTTGTGTTCTTTCCAGCTACAGAGGCCCAAGGATATAAGCACAGACAGAGAGCATGACAGACTGTGGAGTGAAGTGATGCCTGGCAGAGCAAGGAATCTTGCTTGGACAAACTCTTGGACAAAAAGGAGGGGTCAGGGGAGGAAACCGGAAAGCTCACAGATCATCTCCCAGCCTGCACTGTCTGTTGAGGTGTCCTGGTGGTTAAGCCTAAAGGCTGTCCTCAGCCAAGTTCTCCCAAAGCTTAAAGGTTTGGCTTGGCTGGATGGAACAACCTATCTGACTAATAGATCCCAAATCTGTACCCTCTCTTTTCTAGGAATATGCCTGACAAATAGCAAACACAAGGCAAAGTGACGAATCCTCACTATTGCTTGCTTACTGCCTGTTCTCTATTTATTAAATGTTGATACAGTTTTATTTTTGCAGCTTATGAGCATGTTTAAGACTGTTTATTGCCCTGGCCTTTCATTCTGGGCACCTGCGCTCCGAGGAAGATTACACA